GGATTTAGATTTTGTATTTTCCTTCCTTGTTATTAGCAACCATCAAGAAATATGAAAATCTTGTCTTCTCCCTCTCTTTCAGTATATTGCTTCAACTAAGCTAAAAACCCGAGTGTTAAGGCAATTATTTTAATTGCATTTCAGATTATGTTCGAGACTTTCAATGTACCAGCCATGTATGTAGCTATTCAAGCCGTTCTGTCCCTCTATGCTTCTGGACGTACCACAGGTAGGCCTCTGGGGAAGACGGCATAGACATTTGAAATAGTTAAGTGTGTTGATGTGCACCTGGGAACGAATCGTGTGTTATCTTCTCAAAGGGATTGTGCTTGACTCTGGGGATGGTGTCACCCACAATGTGCCAATTTATGAAGGCTACGCCTTGCCGCACGCCATCATGCGTCTGGACCTGGCTGGCCGTGACCTGACAGACTACCTCATGAAAATCCTGACGGAACGTGGCTACTCCTTCGTGACCACTGGTAAGGACACGCTGCTGGCTGAGGAGGAGAATTCTTTAATGCGCAGTGTTTCTAGCAGCCTTAGAAGGACTAGCAGTGGTTCTGCAGCTGATTGGACACAAGAAGGAATCTAACAGCAAAGTCCCCTACAAGACTAGCAGAGGATTTGTTTAAAAAATGGGGGTGGTGGGGGTGGTGTGTGTGTGTGTTGGACAATGAAAGGGAATAACCTGTTGACATGTCTGGGTCCTTCCCAAATGCCATTCTAAAGATTGAATCCTCTTGACAGCGGAGCGTGAAATTGTCCGTGACATCAAGGAGAAGCTGTGTTACGTGGCCCTGGACTTTGAAAATGAGATGGCCACTGCTGCCTCTTCCTCCTCTCTGGAAAAAAGCTATGAGCTTCCTGATGGTCAGGTGATCACTATTGGAAATGAACGCTTCCGCTGCCCAGAAACCCTCTTCCAGCCATCTTTCATTGGTAGGTTGAATGATTGTTCTGCCTGGGTAAACTGCACATAAATACCGAGTCCCTGTTTTCTTTTGGTTGTGTCCCATTGCTAACTCACTTAGACGTATACACGGGTATGTCCTAGCACCCATTATATAATAATCTTTTAGAACAGCTTTATTAATATGGTGGGAGGAACTTCATGTCAAACAACAAGGCAAAATGCTTTCCCAAAATAAACCCTGAGTGTTTATTCCTGGCTTCTGGCATTGGGCCCATGCCACTTTGTATGTTGTGCAATTGGCTACTATGAGAAGTATGGCTGCAAAGCCACTTTTCTGAGTAGTGTGAGGATTGTAGTTTGAATGTGCTTGCAGGGAGGTGGTGTGGAGGGGAAGCACTACTTTTATTTTTCAGAAAGACTGCTCCAAATCCTGAATCCATGGTTCACCACATTTGCAGAGTAAAGCCAACACAATGCAGGCAAATCAACAGCCAGAAGGCAGAATCCAGTGTCGGTTCTGCCAATGAGCAGAATTTCAGCTCAGAAATAGATGAAGTAGTTGCATACTTAGAGGTATTAGGACATATTTTGACTGTTCTGTCTCTGATCTGGCTCAATTAAAAAAAAAAAAAGAAAAAAAAGAAAAAAAAAGAAAAAAGAAAACAAATGATTCCAAGACCATATAAGGAATTCTTAGGACATTTGAGATTGTCTGCAAAAGCCTAGTGGAAACTTTACTATTCCACACCCCTAGCTTTCTTTTTAAGGAGGAGTTGTGTGCATAAGGGGGAGAGGAGGGCTGTACACCAAGGAACTCCTAAGCAAATAATTTAGACAGCTGCAGAATGACTTTCCAGATTTTCACAGCTCTGAAGACTGACGTCTTCCAAACAGACACTAAAGTTCTTGTCATCAGTTCTGCGCTAACAATTTTAAGTCTCTATATGGAGTTGCTCCCTCAGTGTTCTTCTGTAACTTCCCCAGGCATGGAGTCTGCTGGCATTCATGAAACGACTTACAACAGCATCATGAAGTGCGATATAGACATCAGAAAGGATCTTTATGCCAACAACGTGCTGTCTGGAGGCACTACAATGTACCCGGGTATTGCAGACAGGATGCAGAAGGAAATAACTGCTCTGGCTCCCAGCACTATGAAGATCAAGGTATGGTGCAATTATTTGTAGACTATTTGAGTTGGCATGTACAAAGTCCTCAAAAATCTAATGAAACATAGCAACACTTTACAAAGTAAGTGCTTTGTACATACTTTGAATCATGTCTGTACCTTCTAGCAAGTAATCACCACCTGGTAACTTTGTCGCTGGAAGAAGAGAGCCTTCTCTCCTCTCATTTCCTTGTTCACGGTGGATTCTGCAAACTGCCCCAACATCGCCAAAGAATAGCATGGACCCAGCAGCATAAATTTTCCTCTGGGGCTATATGTGCGCTTCCTCAGCCCTTTTTGGCTGATGGAGATGGGAAAGAGGAAATGCTGGTTTTGTCCTTGGCCTACAAGTTCAGAAAAGAAAGAGTCTCTGACAAGCCAGTCTTCCTCCTGCTGCTTCAAATCTTCTGTTCCTTGCTTTGCAAACATTTTATCAGCTATACCAATAGGAGTGCTCCACAGGTCACTCATTCTTCCAAGCCCTCCTGGGCTATCGTTAACTGCTCTGGAAACACGTATCTCCCCTTTTCTCATACGCAGGCATGAATACACAAATGCGCTACTCTTACTGGGCAGACTGACTCAGGCAGAGAAATTGAGGATTTACACTGAGACTTAAATAACAACTTTTTAACTTTACTGCTTGCAGCAATGGCTAACTGTAATGCCAGGGATGACACTAGCACATAGATACAGTGTTTTTGTTCATATCAAATATCACTGCTTTAATATTTTTGTGTAACAAATGTATTTTATTCACAGTGGGCAGTTGTGCTTAATGCTTTTATTTTTTAAACAGATCATTGCTCCTCCTGAACGTAAGTACTCCGTCTGGATTGGAGGCTCTATTCTTGCCTCCCTGTCTACTTTCCAGCAGATGTGGATCAGCAAACAGGAATACGATGAAGCTGGCCCATCCATTGTTCACCGCAAATGCTTTTAAATTGCTTTATCTTTATGTCTCCTTAGTGTATTACTGTGAATGTATTCAGGAAAATACATTCTTATAATTTCATTCCATAAATTCTTCATCATAGTGACTCTAATTAATTGGATACTATGTATTTTTTTTTGAATAAATTTTAAATATGCTATGAAATTGCTGCTCCTATTTAAAAAAAAAACCAAAACCCATGCATTTGTGGAGGTACCATTACAGCTGGTTTGAAGCTCCATCTTGTGACATGAATTTGTTACTACACTATACCGGGCTTAATAGAAAAAGTGGCACCTTTTGCTCAATGATGCCAATGCTAGAAAATGCTCAGCTATCAGGCTGCATGTGGTCAAAGTTTAGCCTCAGTAAACATTTTAGTCTGGAAAAATCAAGACTGGTTCTGTTTGCAAAGTTCTGGGCAGTACCAAAGGAGCGTAGCGTCTGTTTGATATCAGGATGAGCATAGACACTCTGCTTTGTATCTGCTCTATCCAGAAATATTATCTATCCGCATCACTTCTTAATTCAAAGCTGTCATGCTGGAAAAGCTAATTTTTTACAGTGTGTGGCCCAGAGGTGTACGATGCGTACTACAACAATGCTGTGTGTTTTCTTTAAGGAAACAAAACCTGTTCCTTTGGGAGCGTATCTAAACACTAACATTAGATTGAACACATGACTTTCCTATCATATGCCCTCAGGATGAGTACAGCCTATTGTTTTTATGTTGCGATTCCTGGCAAGGTCTAAAGGGTAATTAAGCTGGCTTAATACACTTTCTCTTCAGAACTGGGTTTTTTTTTGGGGGGGTGTAATGTAATCAAAGTAGATAAAATAACTTAGGCAACTGATATTCAACTAGAAGTATATACATAGAAGCTGAAGCCAGTAATACTGTCTTAAAAGTATATATATGATAAAGAATTCACTGAGACAGACCTGGAAAAGGTCAGTTCTAAGGAACTTGCTGCAATCTGTGTTCATTAGAGTTCAGGATAAAGGATGCTATTTATTTTTGTTACCTAGTTTCCTGTCTAAACTCAATAGTTTACCTCACGTGCCTGTTACTCGTTACCTTTCGAACTCTTTGCAACAGCACCTGTTATTTACCATGTCTGCGTAACCCCTGGGTTCCAGATCTTGTCCAGCTTCTGACTGTTAGCACATATTCCAAATTTTATTGTACTAACCTTATTATTTAAAGTATAGGTCATCTACGTTCTTGGAACAGATACTAAATAAACTCTTGTTAGAGCAAATAACTTTGTATGGTTCTTCCTTCTACCTCTATCTAGATCTTTTTATCTAACTCTAGATAGATCCAGGGAATCCCTTTTGGGATAAGAACTTGATTTCAAATAAAAATCTCTACTAGAGGGTTGCTGGAGAAGACACATTTCTCCAAGGGACTCTGATGCATCTCTGCTATGCCAAGATGTGATGAGGGTCAGCTCTCAGGTAAAGGACTTGCGTTTTCCTAAATGTTTTCTGCTTAATAACAACCGAAACTTAAGCTATACAAAGGTGGAATGAGGAAAAGGATGAAAAAAATCACCCAAACTGATGTCTTTGACTCTACTACATATAATGTAAATTCACTGAAGCGGTGAAGAGATGTACATAGCTGGAAGTCACAAAAAGGCAACCGCTGTTAAAAATCCCTAATTCTCAAAGCAATTGATGCCAACATGTGACGAAAGAAACATGGCTTGTTTCAACACAGTTACTGTTGTTTGAAGTTCATTTTATTGTTATGTTTCATAGGTGAGATTTGTTTACAGATTCAGGGGTAATGCCACTGAACTCCATCTTGACAGAGCAACAAAATAACTCCAAAACAGGCTAGAGCAATAAATATCAAACCATTCAATTTAAAATGTATAAATATAAAAGTTATTTCTGAAAATGTAGGAAAAACAGGAATCCATTTTTCTGTTTTGGCCATTTGTGTAGTAACATCGCTATCATCCGTCTGATCATCACCTCAGATCCAACACAATTATCTTTATGTCTTTCCCGACCACATGAGTACATGGCTGCAGAAGAAGTCAACCCATTACTCAGAGAAATCAGTTTCAGTAAAACAGCATATGAGGGCTATTGTTTCCTTTTAACTTTCTGAGCCTGCTTAATACTATGCCTATCTATCCAACTTTGATTGTACCTACCGCTGTGCCTGTTCACAGGCAGACCTCACTGTCACAGGTATAGACTGCTGAATAAAGCAAGGACTACAACATGCAATCAGAAATAAATTTCTAAAGAGGATGTTGCTTAGTGCTTGGCTGTGAAACAGATTAGACTTCTGTGCTATCCTTTATGTGTCACAGCACGGGATCCCTGAAGTGGAGGGGAAGGTGTTGCGTGCTGCATTAGAACAGGTGCGGGGGGGACAGCAGCGAGGAAAGCGTCAACTCTGTTCTCTTCCTGCAGTAGCTTCAGATATATCTGCCCACATGATGGATTTTTAGGAGCATTTAGGACTACACTGTGTCTTTAGACACAGTCATGACTAAGTAACAGCTTGTTTTGGGTCTGTGGGGAAGAGTTTTTACCAGAAACCAGACAGATAGAGTTTCGGATTGTTCTAGTCAGGTTTCATGAAGCTTCCTGTATTATCACCCCTGGTATTTTTCCTCCAGGAAATAAGGCTGTGATCTTACTGTTTTTGTTGGAAGATCAATGTGTTTTGGGGATTGTACTTGAAAGTATATTTGTGTTTGATATGTGATACCAGCAGTGTGTCTAATGATTGTAACTGAGCTCATGTGGCCAGTAACAACTTTATTCATGAAGTAAGTCTGTGAAGGACCACTAAAAAGAGCCTATCTGGAACAAAAGTCTTACAATTTTTCAGAGTTGGACTACGTTCTCATTATCCCCAGAGTCAATGATAAAAGAACAAAACAAAATAAAGAAACCCAACCTCTCCTGCTTTTGAGGAAAAATAATACTGACATTCTGAGAGTCCTACAACAAAGAAGGGAATTCCAATATCTTTCAGTATTACTTCTCTGCATTCGATCATTTTATTTGGAGCTAGATGAGATACTCTGTATTTGACGTAAGCCCCATTTAAACAAATCTTAATTATTGAAAGGTAAAGATTGTTGTCTTCCAGACAACAGTGACATTTCTGATAATGTCTATACACAACAGACTATACTGTTCAGCCATACACACAGCATACTATGCTATTAAAACATCAAAAGATACGGTAGTTACTGAGAAAGGCTTGTGAGAAGCCGGGGGAAAATTATAGGCAATGAGGGAAATGGGGCTTAATCTACTCATAGCTGCACTTTTAGCAGCTGGGCTGTTCTGTTGGGATACCGCAGCTGGGGAGATGAACTGAATGCTTTGTTTAAAAACTGAAGAGCTCAGGAACAACTCCTGCTTGAAACTGTGGCTTTTGCTTCTGAAAGCAGGTAAAAGTGGTGACTGATGGTAACTTCCCCTGGTTAGCCACCATTTGGATAGCAGCATGTAACACTCATCTCATGGCTGCTGTCGACAATTTAAGTTATACTTCTGATGTCTACCTTGGTCAGTGAAGTAAGGGTAATGGACTTATTAAAATGGGAGGGAAAGTATAAAGAAACCTAATCTGAAACACATACAATTTCTGCTTGCAGCAGAACCATGGGCAAGAATTTGAATAGTCAAAACCATGTTGGATTATATACTTACATTAAATAACCTAGGCTCCTTCGTATGTGGATGGAATCCCTTCTTTTTACAAGCAGAGACTTCTAGCATGCCAGCATTAGTAAGTCTGAAGATGCCAGTGCTGGAAAGCAAAAGATGAAACTACTGTTACATACTGCCCCATAATACAAGTCCAAGGTTTCACATACAAATTGCTTAGCTTAACAGAAGGACAACAGGGTGGTACTCGGTAACCTTTGATACACAGGAGCTGAGGCTGGGTTGGATTCTTAAAGATATTTGAAATCAAGGGTAGCTGTATTCCTGTAAGAAAGAGATGATGAGGGGAAGGGGAGAAAAACCCCAGTACCGTTGCTATTCCCATTAGGCAAGTTAGCCTACTAAGGTCAAGGCTAGCTCATACAAGAACAGATACAAAACAAACTTAGGTGTTCTGGATTGCATTTCATTCACTGAACTCTAGAGAAGCAACTTAAAAGAGAACAGCCTTTAAGCTACCAGTGATAGTACACATCCTCCCCACTCTTTTAGGTAATCAAGTAGTACAAAGCACTAGAAAATGCACTGCTGCATATGTATGACCTAACACTTTGAGTATTGAATGAAAAGTTAGAAAACTCACCCTTCTGTAAAGAACATTAATACCTAGTAACTACAGGACAGCAACAGATTAATGTGTTACAGATAGGAGTAACAGGTTAGAGAGATAGGAGTAACAAGTTAGAGTTAGTTACAGGGTATTAGCATAAACTACAGAAGAAGTTTGCAAGACCAGAGATTTGAAAAGGTATGCAGGCATTGTGCTCTGAGTTAAAGCCTAGTGCTTGTGCACTGGCCGCTCCATCTGTATTTACAGCTCTGCTTCCTGAATGGCCCATATAGGAAGTTAAGCAACCAGAATCGGATTCATAGAAGTCATCTAACAGGGGCAGAAGGCCAGAAAGAAAGGCTGAAGAAATGCACAGTCTAAACAATGGAGTTAGCCCTGGGGCCTTGAAACTCCAAGCACACCAAAGCAGAGTCACAAAATTGAGGTTGGAAAGAACCTCTGAAGATTAGTCCAACCCCCCTGCTCCAGCAGAATCACCTTGAGCAGGTTGCCCAGGATCATGTCCAGTCAGGCTTTGAATATCTCCAAGGATGGAGACCTCACACCTTCTCTGGGCAACCTGTTCCATTATACACCTTCACATTAATACTTACACAGTTCCAGGTTTTTTCCAGATATTTATTGTTTGTATTTTATGAAATACAAAAATAGGAGCTTTTGTCAAAAAAGTGATCTTTATCCCTCTAGTCCCCAAACTGCAACTTTCACATCATCCTAGAGAAATATAGCCAACCCCACCACTTCCTTCATCAGACAGAATGAAGATACGTCTGTGGTAGGGCACTGGCAATGATGTCTCCAGAAGAACAGCTCCTGTCATTACTACTTGGTTGAGCAGAGCATAACAATAAATAAAATTTAAAACCTGGGACTGGGAGGGAGGAGGAGAGGGAAGCCAGAAACAATACTGTGCATATAGACTGACTGGAATTTAAGTCTAAACAACTTAAAGAAAACAAAGTCATAATACAATATTCCTGCCCTTCATCCCAGCTGACATGTGCTGTTTGTATTTGATCAAATTTGAAGATAAGGAGCAGGGGAAAATATCTAAATATTACTTAGAAAAATCAGAACTCACTCATTATGCTTTGGTGAACAAACAATTGCAATGGCCTCTGGCAACATTAGCTGATAAGAACAATGAGTATGAAGATCAACACTGGATAAGAATGCAGTTTGTGTTGGATGTGTCTACAAAAAGAAAGGGAAAACTCAACATCATGAAATATTTCTTACAAATCAAGGTTGACATACATTCAAGAAGGAACAATAATTTGTAACAAGTGAAAGTGTCAGTACTTCCCCAGGTCGGTTTCTTAAGTTCCTATTAACCCAGATTCTACATTGTTAGAGTGGCTTTTCACTATGAGGTTTATGGAGGCACATTCACAACCAGATGTACAAGCAATTTTCTGATCATGGGGGGAAAAAGGTGGAATGAAGCAGCACACGACAAAGGGAAATGACTTGATTGTCCAAAATACCTAAAAGTGAAATTGATGTAAAATTTAAACAACACAATACCCTCCCCCCAAATTTTGAATATAGTAGAAAAATAAATGGCATTAGAAAGTAATAACATACCCCTAAATCAACATAAACAAAAGTTGCACTGGCAAAAGCAGGCTCATTGTGTCAACTTCATTAACAAATACACATCTGTGGAGAACATTAGTGCTCATTTACATCACGACAATTAGAATTAAGTGAGCAAATTAAATTAGATTATTCCAGTTATTTCTTTCGCTTGTTATTTCCAGGGTTTCTTTCACATAGTATGCAGAGCTGATACAGAAAAGCCAGAATCTATGAGTCATACGTACATGGATCCAACCCAAAGTGAGGAGGTCATACTGATCCTGAATACCAAATAATTCTTCCACATTCTCCATGTCGCAGTAGTCTGGTCCTGCAGATTGCTTTGGCACTATTACATGGGTAATAGTAAATTCATTATGTGTCTGTAAAACAAACATTGGCTTAGAGTGGAACAAATGAACTAATAAATAAATGCCAAATCAGAACCTGAAAGGTGTGAGCATATCAGCTGAAACAAAGCGGTATAGCTCCGCTGATTCCAGTGCAGCTGTACTGACTGCACCTGAAAATACGCCTTAGCTTTTTTGCATGAAAACATATAGGGAAGTATCAGTAACAACATGAGACTGTTGGATTGAAATGTTCGTAGAGACCAGTGTGAAAAGGACGTCCTTTAAAAAAATTAAAAACATGAAAAAAAGAGAATTGAGAGTAGCACGGTTATTTTCTATGAAACTTGGAACATCACTACTCTTGCTATTCTTTCTCTTTATACAATTCAAATACACTTGGACATCATCTCTAAAATTCTTTGTATGCCAGCATCAGCCATGACATCTTTCCCTGATCTGAAAGGACATTAAGTGTTATCTAGGTCAAAGGAAAAAAACAGCCTGAAAATCAGATGTTCTACAGCTTGATGGGGGGATTTTCTTCTTTTTTGTTGTGCCATTATGAATTTGATGACTCCAGTAGATTTTAACAGTCTTTATATTTCATTGTCCTGTAACTAAACCTCACTTACCTTAGATGAATGCCAGAGAAAGTACTCGAAAAAGCCTGTATTGTACAGAGCGCTGAAAAACTTGCTACCTTTTATAATGACAGCAGTGTAACTTTGATTAAACGTTTCCCCAATAAGGCAAGCCCACACTGCTGAAGTGACCATTCAGGTTATAATATGAAGTTAATTACATTAAACACTAATTGTTTAGATCTGCTTTTGCTCTGAAATCGATGCATTATAGGAAAATACAGCACTATCAGATACACCTTTCCCCATACAAATGTGAGGGTTAAACTGTACCAGTTTTCCACAGAGAATTCCACATGTCTCTATTCCTCTTACTGTATTTGCCTCTGCTAGCAGCAAAAATTTGTGACAGAGATCCCTGGGCAAAACGACGCCTCTGAGTGCTTCGGCCAATTGAGCTAACAAAAAAACAACAAACAAACAAAAAAAAGGAGAGAGAGATAAAAAGGCATATGCAGCTTACACAGTGAAGTTCCCTAAAATAAGGAAATATACACAGTTACAGGAAATTATTAAAAGTGAAAGAATTATACTTACCACATCACAGATCTCTAATGAGAATAAACCTACAGCATAAGGACTTCACCCTAAATTGAGGTCACCAGTCCATGAGATATGCTCACTAGCCTGCCTCTGAGGTGACAGCAAGGTGATACCGTTTCCCAGTCCAGGGCTTTCCAGGGTGAACCACCACAGGTTCTGCTTCTGTTCCCTTGAAGTCCACGGCAAGATTCAGACTTCATGCCGCAGGAACACTAAGGCTCAATCTCTAGATCCATCTATTGGTACTCAACTGGAAAATGTGAAACTGTGCAACTAATCTCCTCTCTGAAAATGAAGAAACTATATGGAACTGTTGTGTGTACATTAACCTATTCATGCTTATTTCACTATGGACGTCCTCATGGTGAATAAATACATATGCAGATGCAATACATGGACTGCTATAAGCAGCAAAGAAGCAGATAAGTACAAAAAGAAAGTCTCTGCACTTACTCTGGACAGCACTTAAAGTAGCCGCTGGCTTTAAGACCCGGTTTACTGGAGGTGAATGTCCAGCGCAGCCAGATGTGCCGCTCCTCTCTTTTTTCTCAAGCAGTGCAGTAGATAAGGAACTGTTCTCTGGTACAGAAATACAAGATAGCATACTTCCATCTACCTGTTCAGACATAACCACGCTCTCTTTGATTTTCTGATCTCGAGCTAGCTCTTGCTTCTTAAGCTGATCCTCAAAGAATTGAAACTGTTCTGATTCAAGCTGCTGTTGCCGCATATGTGCGATTCGTTTCTTCTCTGCCTCTATTAGCTTTTGATGCTCTAGTTTCTTCAGAAATTCAGTTTTACATTTGTTCTGAAACATATGCAAAATAGTGACATTCTCAGAACACTAAAAAAAGCTATGAAAAATGAAGGGAAAATGCAAACTAATTGTTTAATAAAACCATCAAATCCTGTCATTAAAAATTAAGTCTTTTGGAACCTGTTGGCTGAGCTGGCAAATACAACTGTATCCCCAAAAGTAGTATGCTATGGAAGGAAATACAGTAAGTAACGAATTCCTCACACAAAGCTTCCAATCTGCATACCTGGGTGCTTTGTGTTCTTACTTCGGTAGCGATAGCACTTGCCTCATTTACCAGTTACAATAAAGTCATTACAAAAGACATTTCAGAATAGCGATGGTGAAGAGACTAGACACAACTGTAAGCCCTTACAATTTTCAATGCAACAAGAGATCTATGAGCACGTGGGTTTTCTGGGTGGATTTCATAACCCATTTTGTTATCCGGTTTTGTTGCTTGTCGCTGCTGTTTGGATAGGCTTGTCAACTTTCTCCTGCTACTGTCTTTCCTCAGCTTTCCCTGGATTGCTTAACCTGGCTTTGGTGCATAGCCTCCCCAGCCTCAGGCACACTAGGTGCCTTCTCCACTCTGGTCTATGCCCCCTTGCCCACAAGCCACCTGCTGTTCCGCGAACCGCAGGGGAAGCTTCAGGTTTCAACAGCCCTTCCTGCTCCCTGGTAAAGGAGAGCATCAGGCAGCTCCAGAAGCAAATGAAAAAAAACAGAGCAAAGCAATTTCTTAAGTGTCATGAACAAAATAGGGCAGGAAAGAAAGCCTCAAACCAACCAGTGACAGGAATATGGGGTGTGGGGGTTGGGTTGGTTTTTTTTTTTTCCTTCTTATTTCTCTAGTTCTATTTCAAGGGAAGGAAAGAAAAGGTGTTTTTTCTCAGATACTCTTTCCAAGACAAGTTTTTAAAACTACAGGTCCTGTTTTCAGTGACTTTGATACACAAGATGCAAGTATTTACAGTTACTTACAGACTCAAAGAGGATCAGTTCAAACTTGAGCACATTCAGAGCCAAGGGATCTTTTCCATATACTCATGTAAGTGTATCAACAGTATCCTCTTTATAAAACAAAATCAGAGTGTACCCAAGACCCATTCAGATATTCGTAGACTTATTACGTAAATATCACAGCACATTTATTTCCAAGCACACACCCGCATTACTTATTTTCAGATGACCAACCGATTAGATTCTGAGAAGTGAAAAGTCATTCTAAGCAGCCCGTGAAATGATTACATTCGTGTAGAACTGGCATTTTACTGCTCAAATTTAAGAAGATTTATATGACAGAAAAAAATATTCATACCAAAGATTTAATAACCACATAAAACTTACTTTGTTTTGCATGTATTCTTGATACTCTAAGTTATATTTTTTTAAAAGATCTCTCTTCAATTCATCTGTCCGTGGAAATGCAACCTCCTTCAATTTCTTTGGGGTGGGGGAGAAAGATAGATAAGTTTATTTTTCATTTTTTAAAAGAACCACCTGGAAAACAAACTAAGCTGTAATACAGATTTCAAAAAATACAAAATAAAAAAACATTACTGCTCTTCTCTCAGGAAAGAAAGGAATAAATACAGACTAAATCATCAGCTTGTGAAACTCCTATAGTACACTGCTTTCAATAAAGCTGTATTAATTTGTATCAGTGAAAGCTGTGACATGACTACTTCTCATCTCAAGGAAAGATTAGTCCTTTTTCTAGCAATCTGTTATCTCTGTTTTGTTTACTAGGTGTGTGATGACTAACATTTTTGATGTAGGTGTAATTTATGAAAAAGCTAAGTTGAACTTTCAATATTACAGGTAGGATCATCACATTTTTCTCTGTGACTCACTGGACAGAAATGTGACAGCATATGCCCATTTCTAGGTGGGAAAAAAAATAGTTTATTTGCAGGGATAGCTATATAATTAGCTTCCTGTGACAGCCCTGGCAGACAAAACAATTTTGTTTTGTAAAACAAAAACAATGCCCAATGTTTTCTACTGATGTAGAGGCTACAAAATAATTTAGAGGCTGTAGGCAAGGGAGAGAAAGAGACCATGTGCGTAATCCTACTCAGTGCCATAGGAGGGAGCATGTTAGATGCCCTTTCTCAAGAGGGATGTTTTCCTAGATTGTGGGCCACAGTCAAAATTTGGCATGAACCATATTGGCCTTGAATATGACATTATTCAGCTTTAACAGTAGAGAAAGCAAGCAAATATGGCAGCACGAAGCAAAAGAGACACTTATGCTACTCATCGGGCAATTCCAGACATTTTAAGCTCAGTATTAGGCTATATTTGAAATGTTTTTTTTCTTTTTTTTTTTGGGGGGGGGGGGGAGGGAGGGAGAAAAGAAAGTTAAACTATTTTGTATATAAGTGGAGGAAAAAAAATCTGTTAAAAACACATTCGGTAATAAAGAAAGCAAAAATATACTTTGATTATTTAGCAGGGTAAGCAAATAGTTCACAGACATCAATAATGCCACACATCTTTCCCTGTGTTTGCAATAGTCATTTTGGACCGTTAGCCACTCACATAGTCGGGACCAGAATCAAACTCTAAGTACTGTTAAATTAGCGTATTTTTAATATGTAAACTTTCAGAAATAGATTTACCTGCATTTCCTACAATATACCAACTTATTCAGAGACCGTTCTTGTTTACCTTTTAGAATGATAATTTCATTTCCAGTAATGATCAAGTGATTAAACCAAAATAAAACATGTGTATGACTAGTGTAGAAAGATATCAGAAATTCAAGCTGTGGTGGCTGCCATGGGCTATGTGTGCACTAGGGGAAAAGAAGTGCTGGGAAAGAATGGACAGATTCTGGCGGAAACATTTCTTAAAGGCCAGGAAACCATAACCCTACCTTAAAAATATCTTGTTTTTCTGGTACTGCACATTGGTGATAGTCTCGGTGGCTGGGCAGCTTTTCTACAAACAACCTAGAAAATTAAACGTGCATGTGTTCACCTCAGTAGCCAGAGGAATATCCGCAATAGCTTTTACATTGGCAGAAAAATCAGTTTCACATAACTCCTAAACACTGAATACCAGATGACTTGGAGCAGGTTTCTACACATTCATTTGTTTAAAATAACACTTAAATTGTTGTATAGACTTGTATGGGACACATAGGGTAATGACAGGAGATTATTTTCTACATCTGAATATATTTTGGTTTTCATTAGTAGTTGGGTTGGGTTAAAAAAAGGATTAATTAGCAGCCAGCACCTACAAATAGTCCTCAAAAGCACCCTCCACCCTAGCCAGTGTTAACAAATCCTGTTTCTCCTGTCTTTATCTGTCCTTAGCTGAAATGCTGAATCTTAAATGGGAAGTCCAGAATGCAGCACTGACTACTGTTAAAGCAGCTATTTTTACCAGAGCAAGCTGCACAGCTAACTACAGTATTATTAACCTACCCAGACATCTAAATTATGGCAACACTCAGCTGCAAAGAGTTTGGGATACACAGCTGCTATCATTCTTTCAGCAATTTGCGCAAGGTTCACCTCCAGACCCTCTTTTTATAGAGATACATTCATTTAAAATGAAGTGGAATAAGAAAGATTTGGTCTAGTTTTCAGAGTGTGAGGAAAATAAGGGGGGGGGGGGTAAGGAGGTCTCCTATTATATTAAAAAAAACCCTTTCAGAAGTAAGAAAACAAACTAACCAATCCTACAGCAAAACCAGGTAGTTAAGAAGTTTAAATCTGCCACTGATACATTTTTCAGCTGACTATTTTGAGAGTTGTAATGAAAGTTGTCTGGATTTGGGTTTTTTGGGTGGGGAGAATAATCATACAATGAACATACACTGTGGATTTTGCATTTACTTCTGTAAGAAACAATAAATTATACTTAATCCTTCTGGGGAAGAAAAGTAAAAAGAGGCAAAAAGCCATTTTTTCATGTTTTTTAAGTGCTGTGCAATACCACCATCTTCAAGATTGGCAGAAGCTCATAGGGCGTAACTACTAAAGGCTGAGAAATCTTATCTAAACATTGCTTTTTAAGCCATGCACTGTATTTAACCAACATGCTGACAGGTAAAGAATAATCTGTGGGAAACAGCACTTATAGTAGAGGCTGGCACAGTAAACTTAAACCTCTGTATATTAAGTTAGTGTTCATGCCTGGCAGTTGAAAGATGGATAGGACTACTATACTAACAGCTGAGATGAAAACTGTGGTTAGAGTAAAGATCTCCAAAGAACAAAGCTATTCTGCAAGAACACACTAAACATTTTTCTCCTAGTCTAGAGGGGTGCCCCATTTTCACTGCAACTCTTCACATCAGTTTACTCAGAATTATAAGCTGTAACAGCTACAAATGGTTTCTTACGTTATGAACTTATTATAAAAAACAAAAGCATTCTCCAGGTTTCCCTCCTCCATATATACTGATGCCATTCGCTCCATCTCTACTCCAGATCTAAAGTAACGACGCGGAGTGATATCTTCATTGATTGTGATATTGCTGCCAAGTTTGCTTAAGGCACGTACTCTCTCTTCTGGGGTCACAGAGATGTCTGTATGGTCCGGAATAGCTACTAGCTTTTTCTGAAAAGAACAGAGAGATTAGCAAAGAGAACCAGCTATTACGTTTCACTTTCAATAAGTGATCTCATTCAAGAAACTCAAGGGAAATCTTCAGCTTTTTTCTCAAAATAGGCATTGGTTTCCCCACTGCCAGCCACAGTTGAAACATTCCAACATGTTTCTCAATTGTAAATAAATTGTGACTGCAATTACAAATAAGAAGTGATTTTATCCCCCTCCCCAAATCTTCAAACTACAAAAAAAACCCAGAAAAAAAAATTAAGATAAAATTAAGTAAACCCCTGTAGAAATTATCAAAGGCAACACAAAGTGTGTCCTCTTTAGAATCCCACACACATGAAATTCTGTAAGGTTCTGCCTTAAGTTATTGAAATAATTTGGTGGAGGGCCTGAATACTCAGACTCCTATTACATGATGTATAGGGTATGACTGCTGGATATAGTTCAGCTAACAAAGAGCAATAAGTTTCCCTGGTCAGTCAACAGTTCACTTCAAATGTTCATTTCCAGTTTCAAATGAGGCAGTTAAAGCCTAAGAAGTTAGAACTAACTCTAATGAAGAAGCATAGCTGCTTATTATAACCATTACCTTCCTGTTAAGTGGCTAAATAAATGGCTACTGCAAGTTGTTTCCTCTTACTCTGATGAAAATTTTTCCTCTTTCTGTTCAAAATGTTTGCTTCAACTTCTTAAAAACCTGATCACTGAAACAAGCTAAAACCCCATAAACCACACATACAGAAATAAAATAAATTCCAACAAAACCATCAGGCAGAACGTGCAAGAAACTGGTAACATGCAGGCAAAGACCCTTGTAGCTGACAGCCAACGCTGCTAAACAGCTCCCTTGAGTTGTTTCCTATTTGAAAGAGAGGGTGCTAAGCCATTAAAGCATTTCTTTGTAATACATACCAACGAGCTAACAGTGAATGGTTGTTCCATGTTCTCTGTCTGCAAACCAAGGAGATTGCTCTTTTCCTCCAAAGTCTCCATCTGACTGCAAAGGGCACTATCAATCCAGCGCTCAATATTTGCAGCCAGCTGTCTCAGGGCTTATTAGCCCGAGTGAAACTTGAACATAGATACGTTGATTGTGGTCATGTACTGGAAAAAATATGACAGGTCATTCAGATTAGAAATACATTCAAATGTCACGTTAAGTTTGCACGCCTGCACCCACTCATTACTTCGGTATCACGGTACTTACATATTTAATAACAATCCAAAATTTACCAGGAGCCTAGAATTTTAAATGGGAATGCATGGGACATTACAGGACAGTTGTGGACTAGCTGACCTGTTCTAATGTTATTACAGTGGATTAGAACACAATATAACAAATTATTCTGACAATTTTTACAGCAACTTCAAAAAACCCCGACTTTCAAGCATTAAGTGGAAAAACTCAAAGGTCAAAGACTAATCACAGAATCTGTGTTTCCTTGAGCATACGACTTGACAAACATATTTATAGAGAGTGTGAATCTGGCATCTTTTCATGCTAAGCCTATAATTAAAAATAAAACTTAGCACACAAACTCAGATCAGTAATATAAAGCAGAGAAAATATTTCAAGCACCACATGTTCCACCTGCACAGCTTGCTGACTTCAACAACACTCAAAATACAATGAACTCTGATGAATCAACTGATAGTAATTGCTTCTTGCACAGCTCTGAAAAAGTAAAGACAAAAATGCAGACATGTTACGCTCATCAGCAAACCCCCCCCAAACAACTCCTAAAAGGGAAATGAATTATTTAAATTACACTGAAAATATGAAAATGAAGTTCCTAATGTGTTTTTTCACTTCTGTGAACTCAATCTAAACAGATTTCATCCCGAATGTCGAAGGCACTTTATATATTACAATAAATGTGCTTTATGCTTTTGTAAAAGCATAAAGAGTGAGTTCAGCAAAGATATTTTCTCAGCACACCTCTCTCTAGAGGCCAGAAGACTCTGGGTTAGAGAAAAACAATGCTAATGTTTTTAGCTGGCTGCATTTCTCAAGTACGGACTTCTGTATTTTTGGGTCTTATTAATCTTTTTTCCCCAAAAACTAACAGTATCTATTAGATCAGTCTTTAATTTTAACAATTAGTACAAGTATTACAGGAGACATTAAATTTATTTAAGTAATAGATTTTCTTTAAAATAATCAGAATCATTCTGTTTTACTTGCAAAAACCCTTACTGGTATATTCATTACACCTTATTAATTCAATCTTACTCTGCTTTTACATACAACCTCCCAATCTCAATGAATATGTTCTTGCTTGACTTTGTACCCATGTTTTCCATTTTCAAGATTTTTATTCTCATCATCAGGTATGTCACAGGCCTCTGAATTCAATTTCAAGACCTGTTTTTTTTCAAATTAAGGTATTCAAAATGCTTGCACAGTTTGTGACAAAAAAACCCCCAAACAAAACAGAGCATGGCTTATACACCCAAAACATCAACATTAGTTGTGGTTGCAGCACTAATGGAAACAGTTCGCTAAACAATTTCATTTTACATACATGGAGCTCTGGTGTAAGTGATCAGCTTGGCAGGACAGCCTATTCATTGCCTATTCACGGACTGCAGAAAGGCCCCATGGGACCACAATAATTTAATATTTTTGCTTCAGCCTACACCAAGAAATATACTGCCTTATGGCTAATTCCACTTGAACCCCTTCTTCAGCTGGACCACTGTAGATGTGGTAGACTGTGAAAGGAGAGGGCTAAAAGCTCAGCAAGCACAGAGCTCATGTTAGTCTTCTGCCCCTGCAGCTCAGATTCTAAGCAGAAATAAAATCTTCAATAAGAGACGCTGTGTGTTCATATGCTCTGTGTGGCTCAGGAATAACAATTAAAAAAAAAAAATATCTGAGCACTAAACCCCATATGTTTTAAAACCTTTTATTCACTCACTTATCCATCACTTGTGGATTTTTTTTTTTTTTTATTTCCCCTAGAAGCAACTGGGAGATCTACAATAGCTGAATGGAAGGCTGGTTTTGGTCTAAAGCATGCATCCAAGTATGACAAACTGCAAAACATTCTAGTCATTCAGTTTATAGAAAAAATATTGTTCAAAAGTAAAGGGTGCAGAAATGTATTTCTCTTCGATTCCCTATTTCAATTAGCAGCTTTTGAGCAAGAAAACTGCTTTTCATGCACTTTCTCCCATACAGACTTTCTCCAAAATCTAGTGAGGAAATGGACACTTAAGAGAATGCTCTTGAGGTGCTTCCCTGTGGAGGACATGGGATATGGATCATATGCTTCTTTCAACTATTACCACACCTTGAAGACCTTTCAGCCTAGCTGGCAGGCAAGTGGAAAAATGTTAGTGCAGCAAGTGGGAAACACAAAAGCCACTAACTGCTGTTTTGGTTTTTTTTGGGGGGCAGTATTCCCAAAGAGGTCTTTGTTAAAGAAGCCTCTGGTATCCCCCTGCCAATATCTCTTTGGAACTGGTACAGGGAGACATCATGCAACCCTTTACTCGCAAACATTTCTCATCATGGTTGCCTTTAGGAATATTAAAGTTATATTTATAAGTTATTTCAGTGATTTTTTTTACTTAAAGTAGCATTAAAAATAAGACAAAAAAATGTGTAATACCAGGTATTTTGAAGAGGAGACAGCTGGTAACAGCAGAAACTCACACTTCCTCAAAATTGTGTCTGAGCTTTGAAAAGATGAAGAAGGTCTGCAGAAAGCACAAGTCAAGCCATAGTGCAAAAGCTTAGCAGAAGAATCACTGCAAATAAAAGAGGAAACTGGCTTTTGAAATTTGGTTTCAGGAGCACATTAAAAAACAGACACTGTAAATAAAGAAGAACTACTAGGATGAGTTTGTATCACTTTTACAAAGTGTCAAACAAGACTCAAATTACAGGTGGCAGCGTAATTTAAAAAAAAAAAAAAAATCCTAAAAAGAATGTGGGCTATCTTATGACTGCACTCCAATATATTATCCTTAACACGTGAACACACTGGCCAGAATTATAAACGATTAAAATGCAGAAGGTTAAGCTTTACTAAAAACACCACCACAGGCATGTCTGCCAGTTCCCTGGAATGCCTCTGTGCATAATGTTCCTCACGGTGCAGCTTCACAATCACCTTCAGCTGGTCCAAGGCCATGATACTGCCAAGGGGCTCCCCTCACCCCCACCATACTTCTTTGTACTTCCACTTTGTTGACACCAGTGACTTCAAGGCAGTTGTAGCTGATCCAAATTAAAATCAAATGGACTTTTAAAATTTATTACTTCCTTCTCAAACTCAGAATGCAAGGGAGGAGGCAGAAATATGAAGCCAGCAAAACAGACAGACTTGCCCCTTTCCAAGGCAGTGCTGTCCTAGATTGATATGAGGTGGCTTTGAAAATGCACCCTAAGAGCTTGTACAGTGCCTACAAGAATTGCCCAGTCCTGATGAGTGACTCCCTGTCTTCTGGAAATACACTTACATTTCACTCTACAAGAGCAAAGAGAAATTCAAATATCAAACCTCTCTGTGTAACTGAAACTAATTATATTCAAACATACAAAATAGTTATGCTAATACAGTGAACTACACTCCAACCCCAACCACAGGGGATAAGTAGCAAGGCTAGCTTGGAGCTGTCTTAGTCTATTAGAGTGTAAAGTGCTCTAAATTCTAAGAGCAGAGATGCATTTTCTGCTTTACAATTTCAGGCACTCCAACTAACTTAGATGGACTTAGGTAATGTTTGATTAAGAAGAGATGTCTGGACATTTAGCATGCAAATCAAGCTTTTTCTAATGATGAATTTTCTGAGAGTCATTATCAGAATACAAGAATTTAACATCCATTCAACAGTTAAGAAACTTTTCTTGATTTCATTGGTAATGGCACTCCTCACCAAATCCCATTTCCTCCTCAAAGCCCACTTGTTTTCCTATATGATCCAGCTTATTATACTATGCGTTAATTCTTTGTAAAATCCAGCTTTATTAAATCAAAGGCCTTCAGCCACAGGAAATCGAGCAAAGTGAGAAAATCAGCATTTTAAATGGCATTCAAAGTCATTCTTTCTGTTCAGGCTAAAAGCATGGTACCAAGTACCAGGGAAGTGAAAAGCAAAGAGAGCAATTTTAACTTAAAAGTATATGCAAATAGTAGTACCTGAAGACAGAATAAGTATATCAAGACATATCAAGTACCTCAAGAGTAGGCTAATAAGACAGAGGTGGTATGAAAAGATCTGGAGAATGCATACACAAACTCTCAGGGTTTTCTGAGAGGTGTAATATCATAACTCGTCACAAACTCTCCAGTGCCCTCACAGTTCACTGCACGCTGGCATGTTTCAAACAATTGCCAGGACGGATGAATGTGGACAAACAAGAGCCCCTCTGCCTGTGCTCAGAGCCCGAGAGGCATGACCCAGCTAAGTTTGCAAGCTACAGAACCGTGCTCTGTGATAGCGAAAGATGGTACACATGGCTGCACAGCGAGGCTTATTAGCTTAAGTGCGGTATGAACTATTTAAGTTACACAGTTTGTGTTTGCAATGCTTTGTGTGGAGCCAGCTCACGGTCTGGGCAGAGAGCTTGTATCAGTCTTCATGCACTCCTGTGACGAGCTCTGAAGTGTCTATTTAGTATGATATGCCCTTCACCGATATAACCTGACTATGTGAGATGACTGTACCAGCAAAGACAAGGAAGCCAAGCAGGACCACGCTCTGCCAAAGGATGCACACGGTGACTGGCGGTACCCCAGCAGGAGCTGCGCTGCTCAAACTTTCTGGAGAAGACACAGCCACAAAGAGGAGCTTAGAGTACCAGTACCTCCCAGAAAATAGCTGACTGCAGCTATGAATTTCAACTCCTTATCATCATCTTCAGGCTGCTTTTCCTTCTTCAGTCCTTCAGAAGAGGTTTTTAAATGTTGAATGAGCTTTTTAGATTTATAAACAAGTAACTGCCTAACTTCAGTAAGTGTTTGTTTAATCATTAGTTTCC